AAGATAGGTATTATTTATTATTCTACAGAGAAGCTAGTGTAGTATTTAAAAAAAATCTATAAAAAAAGGTAAATAAGAATCTAGTAAAGAATGTAAATGATAGGAAAGAATCTAGAGAAGAAGTTAAGTAAAGTATGAAGAAAAAGCTAAAGAAACAACTAAAAAAAAATCTAAAACAGAATTTAAGAAAATGCTAGAAAAATCTACGAAATACTGTAAAGAAAGCTAGGTGAAAATTTAGACAATATTCTACATAAAAGCTAATATTGTATTTAAACAAAAAAATTTATGAAAGAAAGAAAAAAAATGTAGAAAAGAATGTAAAGTAGACCATAGAGGCAAATGCTATAAAAACTGAAAAATGATTCAAGAATTAGAAAAAACTGGATAAACATTCTAGAAAAAAATTAAAACATAAAGCTAGAAAAGAAGGTAAGCAAGAATCTAGAAAAAAATATAAAAATATAGCTAGAATATAATCTAAAGAAAGCTAAGTGGAAATTTAGACAATATTCGACAGTAAAAACAAGTAAAGCATTTAAACAAAAAATCTACATAAGAAGCTAAAAAAAAATCAAGTGAAGAGGGTAAAATAAAATATAAAGAAAATCCTGTTGAAACTAAAACAAAATTTCTCTTCTTTTTCTTTATCATTTCTTGAATTTATTTTTCTAATTTAATTTTTTTTTCTTGAGTTCAGTTTAGATTTTCTTACCAAATTTGGTAGATTAAACAGATGTTTTAGTTAAGTTTCAATACCACTCAAGTTCAAATAAATTATGGATTTTTGGCCATTTAAATAAAACTCAATTTTTTTTGGAAACTTTATTGTTAAAAACTCAACACAATCCTTAATTTTTAATTGCTTTATTAACTGCCTTCAACAATCCATTCTTCTCGCCACAGAATTCATGCATGTCGTCGGTTTCAATCGACCAAATAAAAACACCGGCTAGATTTTTCTCTTTTGCATATTCAGTCTAAAAAAAAACACATTTTATTTCAATTTCCCCCAAATTTTCACTCACTTTAATCGTAACGGATTGTTCATTATCGTAACCAATCCAAAACGTGTCCTCATACATGTAGGGCACCTTCATATCGTCCAAAAACACCACAGTGCCATTCCTGTGAAACTCGCAAATCTGGAAAATAAATAAATTGTGACAGTTTTAAATTTCAAAAAAAAATTATTTTTGACACTCAATATTGGAAAAAATTAAGTTACTTTACTATAGCCCAAAAAATGACACTCTTTTAATATTAAAAGAAAAATCAAGTTACTTTACTATAGCCCAAAAAATGACACTTTTTTAATATTGAAAAAAAGTCAAGTTACA